GGGGGGCCAGGAAGGTGAGGATGAGAAGTTTAAATGAAATTCATCATGTTCTCTGAGGCTTAGGTTGCTTGCTTGACACCTGAAAATGTTTCAGCAAGTCTGACATGGAAGCTTTCTGCTGATTTACAGAGGATGAGGGAGCCTGTGCTGTGTCTGTCAGAGATCAGGAGGCATAAAATTTATCTTTCTGGGCCATGGAAGCTTCTACTTGTTCATTTGGCTCTGGGAAATTTGATCCTGAACAGCCTGGTCGGGTGGAAGGTGTCTGTGCCCATGGCAGGGGGTGGAACTGGATGGGCTTTACAGTCCCTTCCTTCCCAAAGCACCCTGTGATTCTGTGAAGTGTGGAAAAATCACTGTGCTGATAAACACAGTGACCAAGTGTGTGAGTGATTGTGCTCAAGAATTGCACTCTGCATCTTTGAGGCATCAGTGAGAAAGTTGTGATGTTGTTCCAGCTGATTTTTATAAATCACATCAAGCAGCTGATGCAGTTCTTCAGAGCATTTGTTTCTGTCTTTCATGCAGGGCAAAGTATTGATAATCATCTGGTACTGCTGAGCATTGTAGCTGGCAACATTTGAAACTCCAGACATGGTGATGAATTGCTCTATGATATATTAATGTTATTTTGATCCCTGCTCTTTCAGAATTACATTGATCCAATTAGGTTAAGTAGCTTGCCATCTAAATTAATTTACTTTCCTCTATTAATCTCCTTTACTCTGGGTCAAAACCAGAAATGTAAATCAATCCATTGTATTGCATATCTTTGGGGGGTGGGAGGGTAATTAAATTACCTGATAGATACATATGCTGGATTGATTGTTTGCTGTGTTGAACATTATTGCCATAATTGGAAAGTGAAGTGGTGCACACTCAGTAGTGGAATTTGAGTGCTTGTAACAGTTAATTTTCATAACCTGTCAAGAAATGCCTTGCTGTCCCTGGGTACCAACCCAGTGTGGTGGTGTTCACAGGGGTCCCAGGACAAGGGAAGAGATGAGAATCTTGACTCCATGTTTCAGAAGGCTGATTTATTATTTTATGATATAATAATAATTTCATTATTTATATAATTTATATTATATTTACAATTATGATAAAATGTTTACATTTAAAAATTATTATAAATATTAATTAATTATTATAAATTTTAAAATTAAAAATTATTAAATATTTTATATAATATTATATTTATAATATTTATAATATTTTATGACATAATAATATATTATATTAAAAGAAAATTATATATTAAGACTATACTAAAAGCATAGAAGAAAGGATTTCATCAGGAGGCTTGAAAGGAATAAAAAGGAATGGAATGGAATGGAATGATAATAAAATCTTGTGACTGTCCAGAGAGTCCGAGACAGCTGGGCTGTGATTGGCCATTAATTAAAAACAACCACATGAGACCAATCAAAGATGCACCTGATGCATTCCACAGCAGCAGATAATTATTTTTCTTTTCATCTGAGGCTTCTCAGCTTCTCAGGAGAAAAAATCCTAGCAAAAGGATTTTTCATAAAATATGTCCGTGACAACCCTACACACCCAGCTATGCAGATTTTAGGATATTGGACATTTTGCAAGTGGGGATAAAAGCTCCTTCCTCTGCCAGGAGCTCTTGGACTCCGTGGCAGCATCTCAGAGGTGCTCCCCCTGTGGCTGTGGGGAAAGCCTTTCCCAGGTCAGCCTCAGGCTGGCACACAGGGCAGGGCCAGCAGAGCAGGTGTCCCAGCCCTGATGTCTGAGGTACCAACTGAAGGAGGGCTGGTGCAGAACCCTGCAAAGTTCTCCTCTTTTCCCAGTGCCTTGTGAAATTTCCGTGGTTTGATAGCCTGGAATCACAGAATGGTTTGGGTTGGGAGGGGCCTTAAATCCCATCCAGTGCCATGGGCAGGGACACCTGCCCCTGTCCCAGGTGCTCCCAATGTCCAGCCTGGCCTTGGGCACTGCCAGGGATCCAGGGGCAGCCACAGCTCTGTGTCCCACACTGGGACATTCTTTTGCTTCCCTTGGGTCAGTCCCAACAGTGGGATTCCATCATCTTGGTGCTCTCACCAGTGTTTTACAGCTCACACTTGGAATTCTTCCTTTCAGCCAGTATTTTCAGGGCCTATATCAAACTTTCATCCTGACAGGGACATTGCTGACACCAGGAATTTGTTTACCTGCTATTTCCTCACTTTAGTGGGAAGAACTTTCCATGGAGGACTGAAACAAAAATAAAGCTCTGATGTGAGGAATGAGATCCAACCCAGTGGCTGGGAACTGAATGTTGGCACAGTTAATACAGATACAAAGTGCAGTGGGTTTAGGTTGGGCTTGGTTAAAATCCTGCCAGGTTTGTGATAGCTTCATCTTCATGGGAGATGAAGGCAAGGGCTCTTTACAGTGGGAAACTGGATCTGGTTCCTTCCCTGTCATTGTAGCAGAAGATAAATTTAGGTCAGATGACCCCTGTAATGGGACAGGGCAGGCTGGTGATCACAAATCCCTTCTGGTGTTCAAGCCTATGGATCTATGAAGTATTTTCTAAATCTGTGCCTCAGAGCAGAATGAACAGCAGCAGAAAGGTCACCTTTATCATCATTGCTGTCAAACACCTTGGAAACAGCAGAGCACAAAGCAAGTTGCTCAATCACTTTGCCCTTCTGCTACATCTGTTACCTGTACCTGTACTTTTGTCCCATTAAATGAAACTCACTCCCCTGTCCTGGATGGAATCCCATTTCCAAAAGCTGCACAGTGAAACTCTGTTGGCTTCAGCAATAGGATCTTGCCTTTACAAAGGCAATTAATGCCTGCCAAGTGCAGAAGTGAGCAGTGTTAGATAAATAATGATAATTATGAAAGCAGCTGCTCTTTGTCATAATGAGACAGTAGAAAACAGAGAGGGACTTTTTGCAAGAGTGTGTGGTGACAGGACAAGGGGAGTGGCTCCAAACTGACACTGGGTGGATTTGGATGGGATTTTGGGCAGGAATTGTTCCCTGGCAGGGTGGGCAGCCCCTGGCACAGGTGCCCAGAGCAGCTGGGGCTGCCCCTGCATCCCTGGCAGTGCCCAGGGGATGTTGGATGGAGCAGCCTGGCACAGGGGGAGGTGTCCCTGCCCATGGCAGGGGTGGCACTGGCACATCTCAAAGGTCTCTTCTGACCCAAACCACTCCATGAGTGTTGGTACAGCCCCCTGTGCTCCTGGCAGGGTTTGTGGGGGCTGCAGGCACAAGAGGTGAGGTCACCACTGCAGCCAAGTGTCCTTGGAGGCCCCACGGGTGTCCCTGTGGAGCTGCTTGGTGGGATTCGTTATTGTGCATCTAAATCAACACAAAGTGTTTGGTTGGGCACCCAAATCCTGCTGTGGGTGTGGTGCTTGCCTGAGATCTAGTTCCTACAAACCCACCAAATGCTGCAGTGTTTTAACATCCCATATCTATTAATTAATATGGTAATATTTCCCACAAGCTGAAAAATTTAAAAGTTAAATGTGAGAATCTCTGCTTGAGTGCTCACTGTAATGTGTTGGGGCTTCATTTTTTTGCCTTGCCACTTCCATATTTTCTTTTTTCCTTTTCTTTCTTGTTTTTGGTCTTAATTCTTTTTTTTTTTTTTTTTTCCTACCTCAAGATAGAGGCTGGGTTTTCTTTTTCTTTTAAAGCTGGGTTTTCTCCACAGTAAGTGTTTGTAGAGCTCCTAGCACAACCAGATCCTGATGGAGCCACTGGATATTAATGTGCTGCAAATTAATCAGTAATGAAAATTAAATGTGTGTTTATGCTCCAGTTATAATGTTTATACAAACACAAGAAGTATGTACCCCAACTGTGTAATGGTTCCCACCACAATATTTGCAAGGATGCAGCATTAACCAGCTTTAAATAAAAGAAAGTGCCTGGTTTGTTCAAATGAAGAACCCAAGGGAGAAACACCTCTTAGAAGTGGAACAGAATGAACATTGTGAAACACAGAGCCAGGGATTTTCAATATTCTGCACTCTCCAGTTTTCTGAAGGTGATGGTGGCATTTATCTCTTGGCTCCTTCTGTATTGTGCTTTTGCAGCTCATCAGAAATTTTGTCAAAACTCAAGGGTGTTTGTGATGAGGAGCACAACTCAAGACCTGTGTTAGGAGTAAATGTGAATGAGTGTTCCTCCTTCTGGCTGTCAGAAATGCTCTTTAGATAAGGAGTTGAAAACAGATCAATAGCAACACTTTTTTTTTTTCTTTTTTAAAGAGGCAGATGCCTGAGATGAGTTCCCTACAAAAAGCGAAGTTTCTGTGGTTGTCACACACATGCCCCTCCCTGGAGGTTCCTGGAAAATGACAATTGCAAGTCCAAAGTTTTTATCTCCTTGCCAAAGGCAGCAGGGGAAGTGTGGAGAGAATGGGAACAAACTGCCTCGTCCCAGACATGATCTTGCACAGTCTCCTGTGGAATCGTTATATTTCCATTTGTGAATATCCCTTCAGATGAGCAGGGTAAATCCAGTGCTGTAAATTCTGTGCTGTTCATGCAGTGTTTCCCTGGAGTGTCAATAGGAGGAGTTTGTTTCACTCACCAAGTGCTAAATTTGTCTTTGGGTGGTCACTTGCTGATGAATACAACAGATTAGATGAAAAATAAGGAACACAGGGAAAACATTTTCCTTTTCTACAAACCACCGTTACTTAACAGTACTCTAAACCCCAGATCTCCCTAGATTTAACCTAAAATGTGTTGAAAACTACATGGAAGATTCAGCACTGAAATGTGCTGGCACAGAGTCCTCATTTGGAAAAGAAAACAGTCTAGAAACTTGTAGTCTATTCACAATTACCACAGGAAGTGTTCGTGTCCTGCAGCTTCAATATTTGGAGTTCCATTTTCCCTTATTCCCCGGAGCCATTGAATCCTTAATGCCTGCCTTTGATCCTTATCTCAAACAGAACCACTGGAGGATAAAATTCAAGGTGAGGTGGCCTCAATGTTCCCTGTGCTCTGTTTTTTGCAGGGGCCTGCTGGCCAGAGGCTTCACAGAGACCCATTACCTGCAGGATGGCACTGACGTGGTTCTCACACGCAATCTCACGGTAAGGCTGGGCTGTCCTGGGCAATTCATCCTTCAAATCCAAAATATCCTCTGCCAGGATCTGAGCCCTGGCATGAAACAGCTCAACATGTGGCTTTTTTTGGTTTGGGTTTTTTTTTACTGTTGCCTTCAGTGTCTTTGTGACTGCTCTGATCCTACACATGAATTTTTAGAGGCAGCCTTTGAAGGCGAGCTCTGGGGTGAACCACGTGGCTTTTAACATTTGTGAGGTTTTTTTCAGCTTCTTGGAAATAGACCTATTAAAATGTGGTAATTATGGCAGATCAGTTATGGAGAAAAGGCCTGGTTCTGTCTGGGGGGGAAAAAAACCCCTAAATATCTGATTTCCAGAGTGCAAAAGTTCATGTCAGAGATTGGAAGGCTTGGGTGTCTTTCCTCACTGGGGAGGTCATAGGGAGGGTGTTGGTTGGGTTTTTTTTTTTTAATCCAGGCCATAAATGTGTTGTGGATGTACTTTATACTTGTATTTGTGTGTATGGATGTGTATATTTATGTGCATGTATAAAAATGGATCTATACAAAATATGGCTTGTTAAAAGAAGCATTTAAAACTGCTTTTTACAAATAAAAACCCCTTAAGGCAGGAATGTATTTTGTCCTCTGACAGCATGAATGCCTTAATTAGAAATAATGCAGCAAGCCATTTTAATTACAAAGCTTATCTTTTATCTGCCTAAGTCCCATAAAGTATTTTCTCTGTTATGGTATTTACTCACTGACACTGTCAGCAGAGACACCATGCTTTGTGTTCCCATCCATAACAGGCTTTGCTGGGATCAGGGGAAGGAATTATTTCTCTGCATAACATCTTACTTCTGAAGAAGCATCTTCATTATAGCTGCAGACACCCCAAGTAAAGCAATCATTTCGAAAGCTTTCAGGGCTTTCATTTTGCTGGGTGCTCATATCTCCTTCCAAATCAGCTCAGGAGAAAATAGTCATTTGTTTTGGGAGCAGGAAGGCTGCAGAGACTCCTGAAGGAAGTAAAAGGAAATAAATGAAACACATGAGTCTTTCAGAGATTTACCTGAGTTAACAGGAGTATGTGTACAGCTAATGACAGGTTTTCCTTGCTAAAATACAATATCTGTTTGCAAAATGGCAAAGTAAGTCATGATTAGTAATGACAGTGCATTTTGCTGCCTAAAAAAGAGAGCTCAGTGCATTCATTTTTCATTAAATGCTGCAATACAGTTGAGAAAAGACAAGACTGTGATTTTATTTTTATATCTCTTCTTCACTGAGGACATCAATACAGTCTGGAGTTGAAACCAAATCCGATTTTCCATTGAAAAGTTGCTTAGTCAAATTCTGCCTGGAGGTCAAGGCAGGTTTGTGGAGCTGTCTCTTGGGCAGTTCTCTAGCACACAAGTCAGTGTCTAGGTTATTTTTCAATTTATAGCAGCTGGAAAATTGTCAAAACCTGCTATTTATTAAATGATCTCAAGCAAGTATAGAGTACTGTTTTAAGTATGATGGATCAGCCTTTGGTAATTATTTGTTTTTAAGGGGTCACCCATTTTATATACTAGTTTGCAGGAATAAAAAGATTTGATAGCAGAAAAAAGTCCTGCAATTCAGTGGAATTACTGAGCTAGAAATCAATTTTCTCCCAGTCCTGTTGCAGGCCATGCTCTGATAAGTTTACATTTTCGATATTGAACTTTGGCATCACATTGCTGGATCTCAGAGAAATTGTGAAATGGGCCACAACCAGGAGCTGAGAGTTAATAAAATGACAAGTTGTATGTGGAGAGGGAAAGAAATCAGGCCCTTTGCCATAATTCACTCTTAGATAAAGACAGCTGGACCACAGCAGCAGCTGTGCAGGGTGAGATATTGGCTCCCCTCCCCATTTCACTGGCCTCAGCTCTGGCGATGCTCAAACCCAAAGATTTCTTTCTCAGGAGCTCTGAACTTCACCTCATGTTTGCTTTAAGCAATGAGAATAAACCTATTTCGTTTTTGCTTTTAGCATATAAGAAATTCAGTGCTTGAGTGGGAGGAGTGTTGATTGTTCTTCTATCATGGATGCATGGAACTGGTAACACTGAAATAAAGTGAAATAGTGCACGCACATGGAAAGGTTGACATCCATAGCAATTGTGACTGAAGTGATCACCCCAAAAAATTCAATCTGTGACTCCCTTCTATTATGGCTTTATCTTTGCTAATGTGTTACTGACTCTTTATGAGGATTGATGATAAAAATACCCAAGAGTAAAACACTCTCACCCTGTTTCTGTCATTTCTTCCACTGAGAAAAGCTACTGAGATTTGTGTTTACAAAGTCAGAGCTGGCTGCTCAGTGTTCACTTGCTCGTGCTGGAAATCAAACAAACATTTTCTCTGGCACAAACTTATTTACAGAAAATTCCTGTCTGAATCATTCCATCTTGCCCAGACTGTTGCTTTCTTCACCAAAATCAAGGTGCTTTTTAGAAACCTGCTGTGAGTGAAAACCATGCCCCAGCCTGGAAAGGTTAATTAATGCAATAATGAACCAAGCCATGAGAGGCACAGGGAGATGACTGGAGTGCTGCAGCACTGATAACTTCCCTCTGCACTAATCAGATGGGAACCTTGCACAGCAGAGTTCTCACTTTCCAGGTGGTATTGAGAATGCAATATAACCTTTAGTCAACAATAGAATTAGCCTTGATTCCAGACAGATATGTGGATGAGCTTAGAAACCCTCTGTTGTGGGTGCCTTTTGCAAGCAGTGGATTATTAAAGAAATATAATAACCAAGGTACAAAATGAAATTGGACTGTTGTCTCTCAAAATAGAAGCCCCCCCTTTATTCTTGGTTGTTTTTAATAACATGCAGCTACTTGGTTGGGTATTTCAATAAAAAATTTCATTTCCCACCTGTTTCCCTTCCTTCTCATTTGCTTTGTGGTTTTTTATTTCAGGTTCTAGGGTTGGGATTGGCTTTGTTATGTTTCTGTTTTCACATACCTGCCTCCTATAGGGATACACAGATTTAAATGCCCTTAAATAAAAATAGGAGTCTATACAGAAAGGAGTAAAATGCAGCAGCTGATTTGTTAATCTGATTATTTTATAAAATATTAAAATAATATTAAAATATTAAAATAATATAAATAATATAAAGCTATTAGAATAATATAAAATATTATCAAATGTTTAATTATTGTGGCTTTAAATACATAGGACAGAAAAAGGGGGTCAGTCGTACAAATCTAACATTATTGATCCTTCACAAAATAAGAATACAGAACCAGACAAAAAACCTCCTATAACTTTTTGAGCTTTAGGAGCACTCAAGGTTTTTATTTAGGATTCTTTGGTCTGTTAAGCACAGAGAATATTTGGCGGGACAGGAAAGGTGCTGCCAGTGAGATTCTGAATGCTGTGGCCTGAAAGTGATAATCAGCTTGAAATAAAAGGGCTGGAAACCCAGGAGCAAAGAGGATTTGTGACCAGTGAAATGTTTTCTCCTCCTGCACAGGGTCACTGCTTTTACCATGGCCACGTCCAGGGCTTCCCCAGCTCCTCCGTCAGCCTCAGCACCTGCTCGGGACTCAGGTGAGCCCAGATTTCAGCAGAGTTGGAGCTCCTGAGAGCTGGGTTTGGCTTTTAATGCATGATCCAGTATTGGGGAAGGGGCTGGAGCCCCAGGAGGGGCTGAGGGAGCTGGGCAGGGGCTCAGCCTGGAGCAGAGGGGGATCAGGGGGGACCTTGTGGCTCTGCTCGGGACCCTCGGGCTCTGCTCCCAGGGAACAGAGGCAGGAGGAGAGGGAATGACCTCAGGGTGGATATTTGGGAACAATTTCCCCATGGAAAGGTTTGTCCAGGCCTGGCACAGCTGCCCAGGGCAGTGCTGGAGTCCCCATCCCTGGAGGGATTTAAAATCCAAGCAGAGGTGGCACTTGGGGACACGGGGCAGTGGTGGCCTTGGCAGTGCTGGGAATGGTTGGACTCAGTCATCTTAGAGGGCTTCTCCAACAGAAATAATTCCATGATTCCTTCTCTTTTTCAAATGTTGGATAAATCCCCACAAATAATTTTCCCTCTAGTTACTCTGAGGAGAAAAAACCAAAGAAAAGATAACACAGTTTTGGGGGGTTTTCCAAGAGCCATCCCTTGTCTCCTGCTGCCCATCCCTCTCTGTGCCCGTTCCTTGGCACATTTTCATACTGGCAGTGCCCAGTGCCTTTCCAGGCCTCTTTGTCCTCACAACTGTTTCAGCTGCCAGCTGTGGAATCACTCATTGTCCAGCAGCCTCAGCACTAGGAGAGGTGGCTTTAGAAATCAAAGGTTCTGTGATACAGAGAACATGCATGGCTGTGGAGCTCAGTAATTGTGTTTATGGCAGGTAGGATGCTCAGCTTTTGGATTTTAGCTGCTTGTTAACAGCAGAGTAGCAGATTCCTGTTGCTGAAAATCAAACCTCTTCCAGTCTGACAAAGGAATGGGCTGACAAAATTTCACGTTCACAACAGACACAGTTCAGGAAACAATTATCTTTCTTACTTGGACAATCAGAGACTGGTATTTACTCACAGAGCTGTTCCAAATCACAGTAATTAACTGTAAATTGGCTCTAGGTTCTCCCTGGAAAACCCAGTTTTCCTGTCAGATTTCCAGCTGTCTCAGCCTTTTCTGGGTTTAATTTATCTACAAACAGAAGGAGTAGCTGGAATCTTTTCCCCTTGATTTTGCATTTTGTGCAGTAGTGGCATTGTCAAGGCTTCTGTAAGGGAGCTCTGGGACAGACAGCAGCAGAGAGAGCAGAGTTTGATCCCAGCACCCCTCTCCCTCTGGGAATGACCCATTTGCTGTGGTGGATGGGATTCCTTTGACTCATTCCCACACAGAGGGGCTTTATGAGTGCTTCACTATGGATCCAGCATCTTCCAAAAGTTTAATAAACCCCTTGCCTGAATAGTCAGAATTTATCTGTCATTCTTACTGTAAAACATATCCAGAATTTAAAACTGCTTATAAAAATCTAATGCAGAACTCTCAGTATTTTAGTTAAAGGATCACAATGCTGCAAGCTCCACAGGGAAAATTTGTACCTCGTGGGACAGGGTCTCCATTGATGTCCTTGTTCCAGAGCTACCTGGAAATTAATCACTCTCAAGAGAAAATTCACATTAGAAGTCTTTTCTTTCTTCTCCAAAGTGCTCTCTTTGCAATTGTGGAGCTCCCAGAGTCCTTTCCCAGCTTCAGGTGGTTCAGACATGTCAAGACAGCAGATGCTGGCAGGGACATTTTCCTGGCACTGTTGCAGACAAGTGCCCAAAGTGCAAGCTGACAGGATTGGGCTCCTTCTCTGCAGCACCTTTTTCAGTACAAAACTGCAGAAATTTTCTTTGCAGTGCATGTTTTGTTCTAGTAGGAGATCAGACAAGGAGAAATCTCAGTTTCTGTGCCCGCTTCACTGCTGAGATTGATAAACAGAGTGTCCATGGGTGAGAACAGTCTGTGGTAAGAGTTCTGTGCCTGTTGATTCACTCCACCAAACCTGTTTCACAGCCCAACAACTGGGGGTTTCTCTGGGTCTGGATTGAAGGCTCTTGAGACAGTCGTTCATGTTTGGACTCAGGTGTTTGTTATTTCCTATTTGTGAAACAGCCTCACAGCTGTGACTTTGGTAGCCTTTCATTAGTAAGGCACAAAATGGCCAACTATCTTTTGTTATAAGGTCTTTTAAGACTAGACTATTCAATTAAGAGATGATACTTAGATTATTTTCTTTTTTAACTCAATAACTGATCTCTTGAAACCTGTAATGTGGACTTTTCTGTGCAATTACAAAACACTACCCAAACTTAGGAAGAAGAAGGTGAAGAAGAACAACCTGCTGCTGCCCTAAAACCTCAATCTTGTTTCATATTTATTTCTATATTCTAAAACCCCAAACTCAAAGTTTTCTACCTTGTGATATTATATACTTCTAACCAACCACACACTTGTAATCTTAGTGTTATCAATCAATTTTTGAAGCCTTCTCCACAGCCTCAGGTCAATTGTAGTATTCTTTTATGGGTCTGTACCTTTCAGTACAGAAAGTTTAACATTCTCAGCATCCAGGATTCCAACAAACAACCAACAGCAACAATTCCCAGACAGAATAACTCCCACATATTGCCAGTGCTTGATCACAGAAACACAGAATGTTTTGGGTTGAAGGGACCTGAAAGCTCATCCAGTCCCACCCCTGCCATGGGCAGGGACACCTTCCACTGTCCTAGGCTGCTGCAAAAAAAGCACAGTCCAGGAGAACTTCTTGGCTTTCTTTGCTGGCAGCTTTGCTGGCTTGAAAGAATAGATCTGGATGGGATTGGGATGGGATGGGATGGGATGGGATAGGATAGGATAGGATAGGACAGGATAGGATAGGATAGGATAGGATAGGATAGGACAGGACAGGACAGGACAGGATAGGACAGGATAGGATAGGATAGGACAGGATAATGTACTTGCCACCAGCTGGCTGGAGCAGGGACTCTTGTTTTTCCAGAGCATGGCAAAGACTCCAAGCTGCAGGAGCAGAGACATGAGGCTCTGTGTGGCCATGGAGCCCCAGGTGGGGACAGTCCCTGGAGCAGCCCTTTCACTTGCAGCAGCTGTTGGAAGGGAGGCCAGGTCTCGTTTTCAGGGTCTGTTCCTGGCTTTGTGACAGTTTCTAAGTGAATCAGACAAATCTCTCTGTCTCAGTTTCTCCATCTGTGAAATCCATTTAATGATTCTTACCTACCTCACACAGCTGCTGCGTGGAGCTGGGGTTCAAGTGCCTGAAAAATAATGTAATAATGTAATGAGAGGAAGTGCATGCTGTCAGCCCTCTGAAATCCTGGAGAAATCAGTATCTTCCCCCTCCCACCAGACAGGCACCCTGGGCATTGTTCCAGGTGTGGATAGGTGGGGGCTGTGCATTTTCCCCCAGACCAGCAGAGTTCATTAAAAGATATGAAACTACTCATAAAGAATAGGTCCTACCTTTCAGTGTGCTCTGAAGGCTGAGTGCTCAGCAGCAGTCAGAGAAGCAAAAGGGATCATAGGAATTACTGAGACAGAAATAGAGGATAAAACAAGAACCCTCATTACCACTTTATAAATCCACAGAGCGCTCACATCCTGAGTTCTGCATGCAGTTCTTGTTTCCCCCTCCCCTGCTCCATCTCAGAAGAGGAAGAAGCAATATATCCAGAAAAGGTACAGAGAAGGGCAAAAATTTTGATCAAAGGTGTGGAGCAGCTTTTATCCAAGGAGAGAAAATAGACCAGGATTTGTCACTTTTGAAAGGCGATGACGGAGAAAAGGAGCATGATGAAACAAGGGTGAATGTCACACTGGAGAGGGGACAATCACTGAATATTCTTCATAACCTCAAAATTAGGAGACTTGAGAGCAAAGGAAAGTACTTTTTTTATTCACATAACGAAGCTGGAGCTGTCACAGGAGGGTGTCAGTGGATCAGTGACAGTGTCAATGGATTCCAAGAGGATGTGACAGTTTGGGAAGGGGAGCTCAGGGAGCCTCTGCAGGGCTGTAAAACCCTGAAATGACCCTGGCACTGCTGCTCTCAGAGCTGGGGCTGCTTGTTCTGTTCCTGCCTCTCACCCCTGAGCTGCTGCTGATGGCCAAGAGAGGAGCTGCTGAGCTGGAGGAGCCTTGCCCTGACCTCCCCCAGCCACCAAGGTCTTCCCTCCACGTGGCTGAGCAGTTGAGATGTGGTTTTAGCTCCTGAACATTTCATGATTGTTCTGTGATGAAGAACAATTGTGTGAAATCTGAATACTAAGGTTAGTCTGGTTTAAGTTTCTCAGGCAGGCAGAGGGGTGAGAGATGAAGAGGAGAGAGGAGGAGGCTCAGCTCTCTCAAGCACACATTGCTCAGCTCTGTTCCATCCTCACATAACATTCACATAACTCCTCGCCTCACGTAGGAGCACAATGGCAGAAATAGTGGGATTGGCACTGAGAGCTGCCTAAAATGCAGGTTAGAGGAGAATATAATCATGCCTTAATCTGTATCCTGCTGGCTCCTCTGAGGAGGAGGAGCTGAATGGCAGAGAGGGCTCAGGAAATGCTGAGTGCACGGAATGGGAACAATGGCTAATCAGGATTTCTGGGTCCATCAGGATCAGAAGCCAGTTAGACTGTCAGAGCTTGTGGGAAGGTGAAGGTACGACAGAGCTGAGCCATTTCCTTCCTGTCCTCAGGAAATACCCTTCTGTTTATCCAGCTTGGAGGCCCTTCAAGTTTTTAGCAAATAATTTTGGCCTCTGGACACCGCTCACATCTTCTGTGATAAATTTGTTCAGACTTGAATGATTTTTCCCTGATTACTTTCCCTGGGAGTGCTGAATCCACCCAGAACTGCAGCCTGGAGAAGGGCACAAACCTCCCTGGGCCAGGGGCTGCCAGGGGACTCTGCCATGGAAATGTGCAGCTCCAGAAGCATCTGCAGTGACCTCTTAGATGGGGGGAGCTTGAGAGGTGCTCCCAAAAATTCCTTGGGAGCCTAAGGACAGAAATCTCCCAGGAAGCCTTTTCCTTCTGAAACCCCAAAAT